CATGCCTTGTTTATTCTGATCATCCCTGTATGATTATTTTAAAACCATACATATCATCCAGCACATCATTTTTGTCATACAAAAGATATATATTGGATGATGAAAAAACATAATGTATTATCCCGGATGATTCTTGAATCTTCTTCGTACGATTAGTTCAAAAATGAGGAATATCATCTAGAGTATTATTCTTGTCATTTATGTGATACACTTGGATGATGGAAAATTTTAACTAATCATCCAGCATATCATTCTTATCATCCATGTGATCCAAGAGAAGACTAAGGTTTTTCTAACAGACCGTCCAGGACAATCCTACAATCATTCAGGATGATATGATCGATCAAATCAAACCTTAATTGCTTTCCTTAATCACCTGACTAATTTAGTAATAATTGTAATAGAATCATGCAGGATGGTATGGGATCAACCTGTATAATTTTTAAAAATAATAACATACCTAAAATGGATTGGTGACAGAATCTTTCTGATTTGAGCATATCGACCAGGATGATATTTATATTATCCAAGAAGATTTTCTTAATGCAACTGACTAATTGCAGAAGCACTAATAAGGGTTTTTTATTTTAACATATCATCAAAGATGATTTTTTGATCATCTTATACGATATGATCAAAACATAAAGACTTTTAGGTTTACAAAATTTCTCTCCCTGAGTATCTGTGTGCAAGCTTACTTAGCCTCAGAAACCACGTTATTACGTTTGACTCAAGAAAAGGTAAAAATACTAGAATTACACTTACATATTGATTCAGTCCTAATCTACCAAATCATGAGCAGATTTGATTTGCAATTGACATTGTGGACCTGAAACATTATTACACAGGCAATAATAGAGAAATACTAATACAAAAAATGTTTGTTATTATCAAAACTATAATCTTCGATCCAGGTTTTCGACAATTTTAAAAATACCTTTAGCATTCCAATAAGATTAGGGAAGGTCATGAACCCTAAGACAACTTGGGCCAGATTTTAAATCCTCATGTTTTGGGTGAAAAAAAATATTACATTTTTTGAGAACAAAGGTCTTACCTATAAAAAAACTAGCTTCCCCAAACCATGCCATCTCAAATTCCTCAAGAGAGGAGAACCTAAGTAGGAAGAAATCTTCACTAAGAGAGAGGAGTTGGAATGAATCTTTAAGAACCCAACCCTTGTGAATGGTGGCTTGAAGTGCTTTATTATAAATCCTTCACCTAATTGAGTACCCACAAAGCAAGAGACCCCATTTGGTATATGAAGCACTAATTTTATCTTCTAAGAAGGATATAACCTCATCTTAGGAAGGGATGAATAAAAGCAAAGTCCATAGTTTTTGAACTATTTGAATAAAGAAGAAGCTTTAATTTGAGGGAGTTTGAGGAGCTATAAGAGGGAGAATGATATTGGGAAGGGTTTCGTCTCGGGTAGTTTCAGAGTAGGATATGTGCCCCATCATATAGCACCAAAAAAGTGGAAGGAGGGCATAAAGAAAGCATAACAAAAAGGGTGACTAGAGGAACCTTAGATTCAACTATGAGTTCAATTTTACAAAATCATTTAAAATTTTCCAGTTTTTTTAAAAAGCCTTACGATGAAAAGTAAGTAAAGAGTGCCCTTAAATTTTTTTTCCTGATTTTTTAGTGCTAGAACATTCTTGGGGATTAGAGCGATATAGATTTTAGATTTAAAATTTTGTACGAAGATCCATCACACAAATAGGTAAAAGAGAAGGGTGGAAGAGAAAAAAAATAGAGGTGCAAGATTTATCAGAGACACCATAATTTTTGTATATTTAAAATAATTAAATTATTCCCCACTAAAAGAATTCCTATCTCTTCCCATCTTAAAAGATGTCAATGTAATTTTTTTTAAAGCTTTTAGCAAACCAACTCGTATAAGCATAGCCTATGGAGGTAAGGTTAACAAATAATTTCATGTTAGTCTATCCCCTACTTAAAAAAGTCATATAATATAGTTAAAAGCCATAATTAGTGTGTTATTACTTCATTATTATATGCCATTAAGTTATTTTATATAATGTATTATTTTTACAAAATGTTGCCTTACATATAGGGCTAAAAGATTACCCTTAGCTATGAATAAGAGGCTAAATTAAAAATTGGAATAAATATAATTATTTAAATAATTATTTTCCTAAGTAATAAGAAATCATATATAATTCTTATCGATTCTCTCTCTCTCTCTCTCTCTCTTCTTTCCTCCCTCTCTTCTTCCATCATTCTCAACCTACCTCATTTTTTATGGTTAATCATATTATTAAGGTAAAAGTGTTATGCACAAAATAATTAAGATTGTACATTCTCGATAGTGCAATGAGTATGAAGTATTGCCACCAACAATAAACTATGAATTATAAGTGTAAAATATAAAATAATTAGAATGAGTAAAGTTTGATGTGATGGATTCCCATGAATTCATAATCATCAAGCAACTCATCCAAATAGAACATGCTTCCAAGGATGATCCATGGCACCTTGAAGCATGCTTTAGAGGCACCTTTTATGTAGGCATTCCTAGAAAAGAAATCTATAAACAACCTTTAACATTAACAAATTCCAAGTCTCTGCACACACTATACTTACCCTTAATGGTCGATGAAATGTATAACCCATAAGGTAGCAAAAAGATGGAACTCTATGAAAAGTTTTGACATGCCAATTTAAATTTTTTTAAGCCTTCTCAAGAGAAATCTATAAGGAAAAGTCCCTATAAAATTTAATGTCCCTCATCTAAATTCATACAAAAGGAATATAGTCTGGACCAATCATGCACAATATTTTACGTCAACCACTTCACAAATAAATTTCAATGATGGACTGAGGTAAAAGATATTATTTACAGCCTTCATGGTGTCACCATTTTGGTAGTTCACTCATCTAACTTTGGATAGAATTGCATCACCTAATCAATTTAATGAGTCAGTTATCAATAAATTTGTAAGGCCTGAAGCCCACAAAATTACTTTAATGTCTTGTAAAAGGTCATACAAGAGTAGGGTGGCTCCTAAAGAATTTTGTTATTAGATTCTAATGAGAGATAATAAGAGTAACGCAAATAAAATTACCTATAGTGTAGATGCACATACTCAAGTTTTATGGGAAAGACATATTTGGTACAAAATCAACATATAGCATCCAATTACTTTAATGGAGTTGCTCTAACTCACAAGTTTCTATATTGATATTGAATAGTATGATAATGTTACAACCATTATATAATGACCAAGAACAAGTTGGCCACGAGACTTAAATATTATAGGGAATTTAATAAATTCTTTATAATGGTTAAATTATAAAAAAAATTTAGAGATTTTTATAGAATCCATGCTTCTAAAATCTATTTTAGAAATCTCATCATTAATGGCCCCAACATAAGTATTTTTTTTCTAATGCAAAACAATGTTAGAGAAATTTTTACTAATATGGAGGAAGAAAATACCTCCATTGCATAAGAAATGCTTGACAATCACCCTAACTTTGGGTATTAAAAACTAAATTTGTTGAGGCCTCCTTAGATAATGACAATCTTGGTGATTAATGATTATGTTAGAAGTGGTCCATCTTGAGATCTTATACAATATTTCATCTTCTAAAATATGTCAACTCACCTAGAGAATTGTATTTTTTTTTTCTTGTTAAAGAGATGTAACTTGCATTAAAACAGGAAGAAAAAACTATTACAAGCTAAAAAAGAAATAAAAGTACAAAAATTCCATTTCTAAATAAAGGTAAAGGAAGTCCTAAAGAAAAGCAAATAAGGCATAGAAAAAGTGTATTTGCAAAATAAAAAGAATAAATAATGGAAATAAGTTCCACTAATCCTCTCTTTGAACCAATTGGGGTGTTGGGGACACCAAACTTTTAAAACAACCAAAAAAGGTTGGTTAGTATCCTGGAGTTCCCAAGCTAATAAAAAATGACAACTAGATAGAATCTTAACTTCCATTGCTCTAAAAACACAACATTGATAAATTGAAAATCAAGAGGCCAAACAACCACCTCATAGATACAGACTTCAACCAAAAAACTCATCAATGTAGTAAACCCATTGATAGTCAGGAACTCCAAAATCTTCACTCCCTTCAAGTCTTCAACAAACAATACTTGATCTTCAAAGATCGAAGTAGTAGCATCCATCGGCTTATTTGGGATATGATCCCATGTAAAGCCCTCTTCAATGCATCAAACAACAACCACCTTAGATGAACCAAACAAAGTAGATGAAGCAATAACACCAACTCCCACATGAAGCGGCCAAGAATCGACCTCTACACTGCCAAATCCATACGAAATGATAACCACCACCACACACATCACCCTGGTAAATGAAAACCAATAATATTCAATTTCTTAAAGTCTTCAACAAACAAGAATTGATCTTCAAAGAAGAAATAAGTAACATTCTTAAGCCTTGATGGGATAAGCTCCCACCTAAAGCTAACTCCAATATGTCTATGCGGATCCAAACAATCTATCATATACGAGACAACCAACAACATTAAATTAATCAATACAATAACTCCTACTTAACCAGAACATCTAACTGATATGTCTTCCTTGGAAGATCCAATCAAATCCATCCAAATAGCTGCATAACTAGTAGTAGCAACATTATCTCTTATAATCTTCAACAAACAGGAAACCGATCACTACAAGAAAATGAGTCAATAGCGACAAAAAAAATAGAGACAAAAATAAATTGGTCGCTAAAGATATCTTTTAGCGACCAAAAATTAGTAAGGCCTGTGTTGACCTAATTAAAATATTATAAATTAATCAAATTAAAATATTATAAAATTAAATTTAGACAAAATTAGTTAATTAGTTAACTTAATTCATTATTTTTGTCAATCATCTCTTAAAATATAAACGTTTAATCACAGCCATTGATTAGAAAGGATAGGATTGTAAATTTAAAACTAATTTGAATAAACAGTTATTAGGTTTGATTGGAGCCGGTTCAAACAAAAGCACCCACGATCTCTCCATTCTATTGGCACACTCCCAGAACAAACTCCTTCCCGTATTCTCCTGTTCGCACGAAGCCCAGAACCTACCGCCCTAGTGCAGTTCGCAAGGCTCGTCTCCCTCATTTCGCAGAGAGCTCCAGGCGAAACTCCCTGTTCACTCGTCTCCCTCCATTTCGCACGACCCCAAGGCCGGCCGCACCTCTCTCTCATCGACCTCCAACGCCGTCGCCTGCTGTTCGCAAGCCCTAGCCGAGAACCTTGCCGTCGCCTGCCCTAGCCGAGAGTTTTGGTATACTCCTTGCTAATTCTCCTTTTCCCCACCATTCTCTCCTTCTTCATTATCATCTTTGACCTTCATCTCCATTTATCTTCTTCCTTTTCTCTGTTGGGTAAGAGAAGTAATGAGGATTACTTCTGTTTGGAATTTTGAAATCAAGAACCATTGCTTGAGGTTTCTTTTAGTTTTTCTTTGCATCAAGATCATATTTGTGTAGAAAGAGTTTGGAATCGTAATTTTCTTAAAAAAATGTTGAAACTGGGAATCGACACATGCAGATTTTATTAGGTTTCTCTCATTAAGGTAAATGAAAATGCAGAAGCCTTTTTGAAAGAAAATAAAGGCAATGATTTCATACCTTTGTTCTCTAAGATTTAAAAAAAGATTGGTAAGATGTAATGTTGGAGTCATCTTGCCATTAAAATTTGTTTTCATGGAATAATAGTATGGAGTGCTGAGATTGAATATCTACATTTTTGACTAATCATAAAATAATAGAAAATGCTGAGCTTCTTTCTTTTGAGTTCAAATTGCTTTGAATGTCGTTCTATATTTTGTTTTATAAAGAGAGAACAAGAAGCAAAATGTTTGATATAGTTCATTGCTCCAAATGTATAGCTTGTTGTTTGAGATATGTATAATACACTACATTGGTTTGTTCAGTAATTGTGATATGCATGCTTATTCAAGGAATCAATGACTCGTGATATAGTGTTGATTTTCGTTTTAAGATACCTTGTTTCATGAGTACACTCAAATGATTTGGGCTACATATTCGACTTATAATTTCACTTGCTTTATATATCACTCATGAGTAGTTGTAGTTCCAATAAAGAGTTACTTGCTTTGTGCTAGAGAGCTTTATGTGTTGAAAGGTGAGAATTATATGTATTTTGAAAAGGTGGAAGTGTGTGAGTTTTGGAAAAGGAAGTGAAAGTGGAGTGTATGTGTGGAAATGTGATTTGTGGTAGGGAGTGAGTGAGTTAGTTGTTTACTAGAAAATGAAAGTGTTGAAAAACAAGTCCTCTTTCTTTCTCTACCCCTCTTCTATCTCCCCTTTTACTCCCTCTTTCTCATGCCTCTAAATAATAGAAATTCTAAATTCCCTAAATCACCCCTACCCCAAGTGAATGGAAAAAAAGAAGAAGAAGTGGGAAGTACAAGATAAAAAAAAATCCTCAGCCCTTTTAGAGAATTTAGGTAAATCAATGATATGCTTGTTATATTAGGATCAACATTAAACTTGGGTGATGATGTTGTGTATTTGGCATTTAGCATCATTTGTTCTATAATAAATTTAAACACAACATTTGTGTAACTCTTACTATCATAAAAGAGCTTGCAAGCTTCGCTCAAGTTTATAATAGGTTTGAATCTTTAAAAGGAAAACTAACAGTTATGGTTCTTCGACATTTTCCTTTGTCATTTACCACTGGATCTTGAGAAACAAAGAACAAGGGTAATGACTCTAAAGGCAACCAGAAGAGGAACTTATTACTTGATAATGGGTGTTGGAACCACATGTGTGTTTTTCCACTTGTTCTTTTTCAATAAATATTTCTCAAGTCAAATCAAGGCACAAACTGCAGGGAAATCTATGACCAAGAACATAGAAAGGCTTGCAAAAATCATGCCAATGGTTGAACTAGGAAGCAATAAAAGCGGTTTTGATTTTTTGGGTTATAAATATGACTGTTGTGATATGTAAAATTCATTAATTATTTTACAACAATATATGTTTTCTCTTTGTTCTTATGTGTTTGAAGATGCAGATTCTTTGATTGCTTACAAGTTTTGATGCCAACTTTGTAAGTATAATTCTTCTATTCCTAGTATGAGTTGTGGATTTCTTATTTGGTGATCTCCATCTTTGTTCCATCATCTAAACTAATTTGTGATTGTTTTGTTTGTGTGATAGAGATTTTATCATATTCATTACAACATTGATTTTTATATTCATATTGTGAATTTAGATCATTGCAGAATTTTATATTGGTTCTTAAATTTATTGTGGAATTATAGATTTGGTGACTTTTTTATATTATTATTTGGAATGGATGAAATGTATTTTTTGTGGGCGCCATTTATATTTTTCAGCTGGGCACTTCTACAGAGCCGGTGGGCACAACACACATGGACCAAGCATGGGTACCAGCACACAAAAACGTAAGCCAAACATGGATTCTATGAGTGATTGATGTAGGGAATGTTTCTTCCCAGTACCACCAAAATAATCTATCTTCCAGAGGGAATGTCTTGCATCAAAAATTTGTCTATAAAACTACCTTTCAGAAGATCCAAAGAGAAACCATCGAAATCGAAAGCTATAACATAACTGAGAACCAAAATATATATGAATTCTTGAATTCCTGAGGTGCTGCTCTTCCAAAGCTGCTGTATTTTATTACACTATAATATATAACTGAGGACATCTCCACTAATCTTTTCTCTTTGTATGGTATCCCATTGCATTATAATATAATTAGTAAAGCTGCCGTACAATTTTCATATCATAGAAGAACCTCCATCATATTCATCTTTATTTTTGCACAGATATGAATCATTTGAGAATACCTGAACTGCTTGTTGATCTACAAGATTATGACTATTCTCTTGACATGTGGAGCCTTGGTTGCTTGTTTGCTAGAATGGTGAGCATTTTCTCAAGCTATAAATTTTAATACCGCTTGTAGGAAATATCACTATAACCTTGAATATTTTAAATTATTTGCATTTATGGGCTTCATTAATCTATTTCAAGTGTGTAACTTTGCCAATATCCATCTTATTGGTTACAGATATTTCATAAGGAGCCATTTTTCTATGTACATGATAACCAAGACCAGCTTGTTAAAATTGCCAAGGTAACAATCAATGTTAATGTGATTCTTCTTAAGATGCCTATTATAAGTAATATATTGTTTTGATTGGCCAACTCAAAGCACACCATGTCCTGTATCACAACACACTACCAGAAAAATATAGCTCAATCCTCTAACATCTACGTCCAAAGGAGGTCTCCCATATACTAACCAAATAATATTTTGATGCCACTTTTCAAACAGGATGAGCTAGGTCATTTTGTTGACGAAAAGCATAGTCTTTCAGTTCTTAAAATTTAAGGATGTTACAATCTAGACTTTCTGAACATCAATTTGACAATTTGTCAACGCTATTGGCTTTCAAACCTTTAATGCATATCTAAAATGCTATCTATTTGGCATATTAATGATCCTGTCTAGATAGCATGCTGACTTGACTTTCCATATACTAACCAAATAATATTTTTTTCATAGGTTTTACACTACTCAAATCTTAAAGATCTTTCTTTAAGTTTCATTCAGAAAACAAATTATTCAACCAATCTGGTTAACATGATGGATTCTCTTGGGTGTGGGTGTCCAAGTTTAAGAAACATTAATATTGCATCAGTAGTTCTTTTCAATGATGTTGTACGTGCTTTGTCAGATGCAAATATTAGGTATGAGTTCACTCATGTTTAGTTTGACTTGTTCTTTCAATAATTTTCTTGAATTAATGTGAATTCAATCTCATCTGAGATACCAGTATCGCCTAGAAAGAAAATCCAGTCTCTTGGTGCAAGCTACCCGGAAACCATGTTTAATCTGAAGACAGTAAGTTGTGTGCCTAGTTCGCGCGAGTCTCCAATTTCAGTATCTCTTGTACATCCAATTTCCCCCTACTCGTGCATGCAGGATCACCATCAGGATGGCAAGAAGAATTGAAAAGGCAACCTCATCCATTGCATTTGCCTCAATAATAGCATGTTACAGAAATCTTGAATTGCTTGATTTGACTGGACAAGCTGTTATTGCGACAACTTTCATACCCGATGACCTTTGCAATGTTCAGCTATAGAAGTTATAGCTGATTATTTTGTAAACATTAACATTTTAGGAATGAGATTTCAGAAATTATATTTTGTATTTTTAATTGATGAATCTTTTTTTAAAAGTATACGAATGAATGCAATTTTCATTTTCTTCTGGCTAATCCTTATTTACTATATTGAAGAATGAATATTTTTTTATTCAGAAATTGTTATTTTTGTTATCTTAATGTAATAAAATTAGTGTTTTTTTCTTTAATATGTATTTTATATGTCTAATTAATGAGAAGTAATTAGATGTGATAATATCAAGGAGTGATTGATTAATCTTAAATCTTTTAGCAAAGATATAATAATTGAATAATAAATAAATTTTACTAAATATGACCAAAATTGATATGCATTAATAATCACAATTCATGAAATCAAATGGGCTTGTGATTTACTTGGTTGATCTTTTTTGTGACCAACTTTTATTTTGGTCGCTATTAACAAATGTGATAAATAAAATTAATAATTAAAATATTAAATAGCATCCAAATAATTAATCATTAGCGTCAAAAAAATTGGTCGCTAAAATGTATCATTTTAGCGACCAATACTAATTAGTGGTCGCTAATTTAGCAACCAAAAAAAATTTTGGTCGCTAAAAGCCTCAGCGACGAGGCTACAGCGACAAATCAGCGACCTAAAAATTTTTTGTCGCTATTTGCTTTAGCGTCCAAATTAGCATTTTTAGTGACCAATTTTGTTTGTCGCTAATTACCAATTTTCTTGTAGTGGATTCTCCTGAATAGAAAGATCCACCTCTACAATCCAAACAACCATACACCAACAATCTCTTGAACATCAAGAGATCACACTCCAAGAACACTATCAAACTAAATTTGGAATCAAGAAAAGTAATAATCTAGAACAAATCCAGAATGAATTTTAACCAAGCAGAAAATTCATTCCAACAATAGCTGTAGGAACCGTCAAGCCAATGAATATACTCCTCCAAAATCACCTTCGGACTAGTAGTATCACCAAAATCAATCAAGAATAACTGAGATCTAACAACATTTGAATCACAGCAAGCACAAACATTATTCAAACCAAACTAACGGAGAAACAACGTCAAGCAAAACTCTGCCAAAATTGACTTTAAATCAGTCACTTCACAAAAATTATCTTCAGATAAAAGAAAATCAAATGAAAACTCAAAAGAAAAAATCCATACGAAGAGTAATCATCCGTCCCACTAGGCCAATGGAGAAACTCTACCAACCAAAGCTTCATCAAAATCGAATTTAGAATTGTTGCTCCACAAAAGTAGCCTTCAGCCAAACGAAATCTTGACACAGAATAAACTTCCTACCAGGGAACTCTGTCAGCCACAGCGGGCCAAAAGAGCACCTCCGATTGCCAAAGATCCACCAAAATCACGATCTTTGCTTCTCCCCTCTCAGATCTCTACTTCTTCGCTTCTCTGCTTCAAGTGAACTTATATAGAGAATTATTGAGGGCTTATGAAACTAATTAAAAATGGGGGTTAAATTTAGATGATAAAGAATTTCATGCTAGTCAAGCAAAGGAGAAGATGAGTAAAATAGCTTACGCAGGAACCATTCAAAGTGCCATTATCTATTTTTAAAATTCATATTAGAGGGAATATGAACCATCTTCGTTCATGTGGGTGTGGAGGTAAGGTAAGAAAACCTCAAGTGACATTAATCAAAAGTACACTCAACCATAAATTTTTAGGGATCCCATCACAGAAATAATTTCCATCGGCTTCACCAAAGTTAAATGCTTATGAATGAAAAAAAAACTATAATATTCATCAATATTTTATATCGCTAATTACCATATTGGAAGCATCTTACTTAACATGGAGGGCTTAGTTAATGCCATCTTCAGAAGCATCTTAGGAGTTTGATTTTTCAAAATTAATACCCACTAATATCCCACATTTATGTCTCTTTTATTTTTTTTGCAAATGAAAGTGAAAAATTATGCTAAAATTACATACAAAAAGTGATAACTAGTATACCACCATGAATGACTTGATTATAGTAAACCCCCTATGATTATGTAATCGAATTATATTTATGATATTTTCTACAAAATCATTATGATGTTACTGGCTAGTTAGTAAATGACCAACATTAAGAGAAATCAATTGCAGTTAAGGGCACCCCAATTTAAGGTTCTAAGGAGCAAATAAGAGGAGGTCCTATAACTTAAAATCAAAAGTGGAGCTAGCCACAAATTAAAAAATAATATTAGAGATGACTAAATAATTTGATGGTAAGTTAAAACTTACTATCAAAATTATCTTCTTATTTAATGAACAATAATAATGAGATTCTATAAAATCTCTCCTTGATTGCATTGGATTATAGTCTTGGTTGGAAATTAAGATGCTAAGGGTGGATTTGAATTGTGCCGACCATCAGTATAATATCGAGAAGTTACCTTAACCCATTAAATATAAGATTAGATAGTCATCAGAACAATGGGATAATTAGTTTGATGAAGTGCTTAGAAATTCCAAGAGGACAACTTCATTAGGATGGTACTAAAATATTAATATATATATTTTAATTAAATTCATGATTTATTAGTTAATTGAAAAGGAGCAAATGTATATTAACTTTAAAATCTTGAAATCAACTTCTATTAATGATAGCTATCTTCTAATCTAAATTAATTATTTCATTGACATCACGATTGGATTTCTAGTAAAATATAGTTCATTACATTTTTAATTTAAATTCATATGATTAAACTTGATGTACTTATGAATTGAGTTATAACTAATCATATTGTATGGCCTTTAATCATATAGGATGACAAGCTATTTTGATAAAACTAGCTTTCACATCTATGTTACAAAAATTAAGTAAATTTAAAATTTTAATTTTAATTTATCAAACTATATGAAGGATTTCATACTATATGAGAGTTTATGAATAGTACAAAATTTGTTGCCATAGACTAAAGACTTTAATAAGGATAAAATGCTAATTAAAGATAATAATGTATGATCAAAATCAAACATTATGATTAATCCAAAACACTAATGGACGAACCTTGGTTCAAATTGGATATCCTATGAAACATGTTCCACCAGTAAAACACTCATAGGAAGGTACATTAACAAAAAAAAATTTTGGATACATTTACGAATCATGTTGATAGAAAAATCCATCGAAAATTACTATAAAAAAATTAAAAAAAATTTGTTTAAATTATGCCCGAGTATGCCCACTACCTACCCGCCTACAAATTAATTTCCTTTGCCCTCCCGATTGCACGCCTTCCCCTACCCACTCACCCAACCCCACACACCCACCTACCTAATCGCAATCCTATCCACAAACACTACCTGCGCTACATAAGATTCGAACCCCACCACTTTGTTGGATCCAATGCCCATCCATTGCTCTACAGAGCAAGAAAATTTAAAGGGGCTACTCTTTTCTATTTAAAGTATAAATTATAGAATATTATAATTAATGATTAATCAAAAACTAATATTATTATATTTGAAATATAATCTTTTCTAATATTTTTTTAATACTCATTAAATATTATTTTTAATAAAATAATATTCACAACATTATATATTTTAATATTGATTATTTTTTAATAATATTTTTTAATCATTCAATTTTATATTAAGATTTTTTTATTAAACCTTATTAAAAAATATGATTTTTTATTAAATATTTTTGAACTTTATGCTAGAATTAAATTATTTTACTATACTTATTGAATTATTTTAATAATAAATTTTAATTAATTTATTTAAGTTAATAAATATTATTAAAACTATTTATTTAGTTTATAACTATTTATTATAATTATTTTTTAAAAAAAATAAAATTCTAATTAAATTTTGTTATAAATATTCTATAAAAATATTTTAATGGAAATTTGCATAAAAAATTCATCGAAAAGCTGCTGGAAATGCATTAAAATATATTTTTAGGAATCCACTAAAGATTATTATAAATTATCTCAGAATGTTTAAATATAAGACAACCCGAGGGTTGATTAGTATCCCAGAGTTCCCATCCAGTTAGAGAATAAGAAATAGTAAATATCTCATCAACATTTAGGCAAAGTTTAAAATAACAAATTAGAAAAAGGAAAAGGAAATAAAATCAAAAAAGAAAATTAAAATTCGAAATAAAATTCCAAAAGTTTGTTAATAAAAAGCCAAACTTTAGTACCATAAGCTCCATCTTCAAGAAATTCTCTGTTGTGTTGCTATCCATGGGATAAATCTTTTGCATTTTAGTGAGATAAAAGGGAAGAAGAACCTTTTAAATTGTTCTTCACTTTGAGTTCTGCCATCTTCCTTCTAGGTAGTTCTTTCATCGGTACCAAAGCTTGAAGTTCTTTGAATAAAACATGCTTCGATCCGGGGGAATCATTCTTCTTTGTAAAAAAGTTTTTATCTTTTTTAGGAATTGTTCTTTTGAAATTAAAACTAATAGCTGATGGAGGAGAAGTAGAATCATGGATTGAATTCTTAATGTAATTACCTTTTACACTTTCATTATCCGCCAAAGCTGTAGATGGAGATTTTATAACAAATTCTATTACATTATTCTGAGAACCAGAATTTTTGAGTTCAAATTCTGGTTTGTGAGCTCCCAATAAATCAGTATCTTGAGGAGATTCAGTATCCTTTGTAGGAGTCAAAGCCGAAGTTCCCATTATCTGTTTTAAATCTGAAAAAATTGTTTCATGTTTAACAACATTCTGTTTAAAATCTGCATCTTTAATAATAATTTCAGCATTATTGAATTCAGGATTTGAATTTAAAAAATCAGCATCTTTTCTAGGCATAATATCTTCCACCATTTCAGTATTTTTGAATTTTGGATTTGAATTCAAAAAATTACTTGATAAAGCATAATATATTAATTGTGAGTCGGGTATGTGATAAAGGTTTTAACAAAAAATTTCTTGCTATAAAATTCCTATTGATGTTGAATGGTAAAACTATATGCTGACCTCATTTTTTTTCTAAGGTTTTGTTACCTAAAATTTAAGGTTTAATTATTTTTTTAGTAAACTTTAATCATCAATTTTAACTCCTTGAATTCAATTCAACCAGCACTTTAATACAATCAATAAACTCAAATTAAAT